CGGAGGTTGGTTTCTTGGAGGCAGAGGACATCTACCTTTTGTTCCTCGGCGTATCGTAGGATCTCTGCCCTCTTCTCTGTTGCACCGATGCCGTTAGCGTTCAACTGGATTATGTGTAGTTCTGCCTTGTGAGTTAGTTTTGTACTTCGTGTTGTTCGTGTCAGATGCTCTGGTGGCCGGTAGTCCTCTTGTGGGAGCGCTCTGGCTGCACTCACAAGGGCGGCGAAGGGACGGGGCCTCTCCGGCTGGGCTTGCTCCACGACCCCATCCCTCGGCCGATCCTCGCGTGTGTCCTCTGCAGGGCTCCGAGTGTCTTGTCTTCGGGTGTTGCGGGGTGAGTTACGTCTCGGTGGACCGGAGGCTGGCATGTCTTGTGGTTCAGGTTCCGTCTTGTCTGTTGACGTCTCGAGCAGTCCACTGTCGAGTCGGAATTCCTCCTCCGTGCACTGTTTGCCCCGTTGGATGAGTCGCTTCATCGTTTCACGTAGCGTCTCCGCCTCTACGGTTGTGCACAACTGGAAGTCCTCCGTGGGACACTGCTTTCCTGCCTCAATAAGCTGCGCCATTGCCTTACGCAGAGTTGCACTTTCAGTGGTTGCAGTTGCTCGGGCATCGGCCGTTCCTTCTTGTCTTGTCATGGCTCTGGTGACTCTTCTGGTGGGTTGTTTGGTGTCCGTCTCTGGTTTTGTCGGTAGCGTCTCGTCCTCCTTCTCCTTCCTGTGGCCGGCGGCAGCGCCTCCCCTCGCATCGCCGCCGGCGCGGTCCGCGCCCAGTGGTCGGGACGCGGACCGCAGCTCCCGTCGGCTATTCATTTAGGCGCAGCCCCCCACTCGGGGGCCGCGCTGACGGTGTGCGACTCGGTCGCAGCTGAAGTCGTCGGTTGACTCCGGCAGGTGCGCCTCTTGGTGCAAACACCCCCACCACGAGAAGGTGAGGCGCGTGGGCGGGGCTTGCGCCCCCGAGGGAGGCGTTCGGGCGGCAGGCAGGGGCCGAGGCCGCTCCCTTCGCCCCACCTCCGTCGGCCACGATGCGTCCACCAGCGATGACGTAGCCGGCGCCGCGCACCGCAGCGAAGGCATCTTCTTTTATTATTTTTTTTTATTTATTTTATTATTTATTTTTCAAAAAAATCTTTTTGGTCTTTACCGCTAAGCTCTATCTCCAACAGGAACGAAATGACGTGGGGGGAGGGGTGGCAACCACCCCCCATGTGCGTTCTAGGATGGGAAAATGGCATGTGCGGGCGAGGGTTAATGTACTAGTTCATGTACATGTTTGCGCAGATATAGTATCATCTCAGCTAAAATATATCTGTAATTCATGGTCGACACATTCTAGTGTTGTTATACAAAAATTAACTCATTATATTTTCAATTTATTTGACTATTATGCCTGACGAATATTTATTTTTCAAAAAAATAAGTGCTATCTCCAAAACGGAAATTTTTCAGATCTCGGGGACCACACCATCGGGTTCCTCGCAAAATTTTAGTCTAGAAAACACTAAAATTGGAGATGGGTATTTTCAAAAGGTATTTACCGTCTTTTGTGGCAATGTGGGGCAATCCCAACCACCGCAGCCCGGGGGGGGGGGGGGGGCGTTTTTCGCCCACTGTCTAACTCCGTAAATAAGGGAGCTACGGAAATAAAAGCGATACCAAACGAAAGGTCCTTACGAGACGATTCTCAAGCACCTAAAATTTTTGACCTCAGGTCAATCTTCAAGGTCAGAAGTCAAGGTCAAAGGCAAAAAACCGGCAAATGTGTAGTGATCTCAAAGTAAGCGTTCTAGAGGACAGCAGGATGCATAAAACCGCCAAAATTGGGTGTCAAACAAAAGAAGAGAATATGAGGATTCCGAAAATGTGTTCCAAAACAAAGGTCAAGGTGAAGGTCATGCTCAAAATTGACCTCAAACTTTGCACTTTTTCGTACATCTTGCATGCTAACTTCCAAGATGTTTTGAAATGTTTTGAGGCTTATCAGATCCCTATTTGTGGCTCATCTTACGATACAAGGCTGCTCAAAGGTCAAGGTCACAGAAGAGTATCCTTGCTAGAGGCTATTTCACTGATTCGAATTAGTAATGAAAAAGAAGACAATTTTGCCATCCGGAGGCTCTAAGTGAAGGATTAAAGGAAAATAGATGCCAGATTCGTGATCAGCGGGTACGAATCCATCATAAACGACCTTTCATGTGTAAAGGTCAACCAAAGGTCATTCGAGGTCACATGAGGTCAACATAAAACTTGACCTTTTCCAAACAAAATATATATCATTCAACGCGGCTTGACAAGGCGAATGCGATGGTACCACTGCCGTAGCTCTAGGGCCATTTTTGTCGAAGTTATTTGCGAAAAAAAACTAAAACCACATTTCGGGGTCGTTGACCTGACCTCTGGCCTCAGGTCACCAATTTTTTGTCTATTTTTCTCAAGGTCAAACGCTACACAACCGTGCTCGTAATTTCTCTTTATCTCTAAAACTCTATTTTTAGCAGCTATTCGAAGTTCGTGTCTGTGACGCTGGAGTTTGCCGTGCACGGGTCTAGAAAAAGCGACCCTGTGACGTCATCAAGGGGCTAGAGCCAAATTTTTTTTACTTCAGAAGATGTCAAATTGATGGAAGAAAAGGTACTGAAAGTTTCGCTTTCCATCCCTAAGCGTTCGGGAGCTATCGCAAATATTCGTAAGGGGGGGGGGGGTCGAGAAACGCCTCCCCCGGGCCCGCGAGGGTTAATTAAGCGGTGACCTGTACAGTATATCTAAAAAGTATGTCCCCTGGTTTGGCTCTCCCACAGGAGGCGAATCGGTAACTTGGCTGAATCCCAGTTGCGGCAGCCGGCCGCCAGGGTCGCTGCCGCGCGAGCGGCCTTGACCGCTCGCATGTCATTGGCAGTTCGGTCCCTCCCCATCTATACCGAGGTGGGGAGGGGAGAAGAGGGGAAGAGAGGGGAGGGAGCGGCATCCGCTCGGCACTGGGCGATACCTGGCTGACCCCGCGCTCCCTTGCTGACCTTTGTCCTGCCCTCAGGCGAAGACCGACTTCCTGGCCTGTAGCGGCCCAGCGGAAAACCGAGCTCGCGGGGCGCGACTCCATTGGCCCAATCTTATAAATGGAATGCTGTCGTATTCACGGCATTAGATAATATTAATAGTGATACCAGCAGTGGATGTGGTAAAATACAGTCCAAAACAAACGAAAGCACAAGATTCGCGCATAATGTGCCCTCCCATTCAAATAAGCCCGCCCACTTCGATAAATGGTGTAGTTTCTTAGGGCGTAAAAGATGCAAAACACTACCGATTTTTTTTTTAGCTCGGCCACTGGGACCGACAATATACAATTGACTGAAATGCATGAAAACCATTTTGCATTTAGGTAATAGCCGTTTTCTGCACCCAAACTTTAGCCAGTGACGCCCTGTCCATTCTAAAACGTTTATAAGATTGGTCCCAGCACCCGATTTTATATGAGGAAGTCGTTTAAAAAGCAGCTTATTTCTAACGAATTTATTATTATGGCCACTTTTACAGGACGTCTATAGAGCTTTGACTTTTACATCTTCCTCGTTCAGGAGCAACGTTTTAACCCTCACCGGACCTTCAGGTTTTCTGAATACCGAGGGGGCGTTGGGGATTGGAAGTGAGGAAACAACCCCCTTCGCCGAATCGCCCCTAATTGAGCTAGAGCCTCACGAAAGAAACGATCGTGTGCGTCGTTACGAAATGCAGCGATTAGTCTCCAATTTAAGGACCAGGATCAGCCGATGACTTCGGAGGTCAGGTCAAGTGGCCCAAGGCACAGGTTCGGTTTTTGGTAAATAACTCCGCTAAAAATGATCGCAGATCCGCGATTTTAGCAGCATCGTATTTGTCTAGCTCAGGCGTGTCGAATGGTATACTTTTTCTTCGGGTGAGATCAACTTAACACTCGCCCGTAGAGGGAGGGGGGTCGAACGGACCCCCTCCCTCGGTTTTTCGCGAATAACTCGCGTAAAAAGCGACCGATCGCGACGAAACTTTCAGTACCCTCGCGTAAATCAATTTTACACCCACCTTGAAATTGTCATGACCCTGACCTTAATGACCTTTGACCTGTGACCTACTTTTCGAGACCATATTTGGCCGGAATCGCGATTCGGCGTATGTCGGCTCGCATTAGCGGCGCGTTTGCAGTCTTTTCGTGGTTTTAAGCGTTCAAACATGGGATGTGATGTTGCTTCCATGCATTAGGGTGGGTGTCAAGGTCACCGGAAAGTCAGGTCAGGTCATTGACCTTTGATGACCTCGGTTAAAAAGTTAATTAACAATTTTAATTAGGATAGTTTAATTCAAGTGGGTATAATCCGACTTGACAATTTACTAGGAGGGTTTTGCAGCGCTATTAGTTCGGCATGTAATTAGAAATCATTGCTAATTTCGATCCGGATATCGTTATTCAATGATGGCCTTCGCGTCCTCAGAAAAGTTGTTTATAGTCATGAAGGCTTGCATTGACCCATACTTTCCATTTTTCAGCACCATTATTCGCCGTAGTTGACCAGGTGTTTTCTTCAGCTCTCCCCTGAATCCTTTGGCTTAGACCTGGCGTATCACCCGAGCATCGCAAGACGCACCTACCACACACAAGTTTATGATCCCCACGAACCCACAACAGCGTCCGTTCGCTTGGTGTGTGACCCCTTGACCTTTGGCCGCGACAACTGCCAGCTTGCCGGAGCACCCCTCCCTACACGCGTTGCCCCGCCCGCTCCCGCTCCCTCCCCCCCCCCCGGGGTCGTGTCACGAAGGTTCGGGCTTACGCTACTACCGGCCGCTGCGCAGCTGTCACCTAGCGCTTGGGAATGTGTGGTCTGGTGCGGATTCAGCCAACTACCGGCTCGCGACACCAGCGCCACGTAGTGGCGACGGTACATTCTTTTTAGACATACTGTACCTAATAGCGATCACCAGTAGCCCTCCCCGCCAGAGCCACGGACTCAGCAGTTTAAAACTGACCCTTATAAAAGAGAATGACGATCTTGCTGAAAGTCTTCATCAGGTTCATGTTCTCGTAGCAGTACTCTTGTGCCTTCAGAATGAGCGTCATCTGGGCGCGGGACGAGTTGTCCGTGTACTGCTTGAATAGCGGCACGTACTCGCGCAGGTGGCGAATGGCCTGGTCGACGATCAGCTCCTCCTTCTTATTCCACTCCACGACGGACATGACTGTGGGCCACACCTGTCCGGCCAGCGAGCGTCAGCGATACGGCACACCACCATACACCACACGCCTCCCACAAATCGAATACGCACACAAACACACAAAAAGTCAAGTTTACCAAACCGAGTAAATCGCGATATGGCTAACCAAAGAAATGTTTGGTGCATCATCTGAAATCACGTAGCTTTCATGTTTTTTTTTTCAAAACCAGCCTCGTGTATGATTGTCAGAAGTCCTGACATTTTCTATGCCGTAAAATGACTGTCGGATACTTGCAAGTTCAAACGCCGTTAGCGTGCGTTCATTTAATACAAACTACAAAAATTATACATGGCAATGATCCCTAAAGCCTGCTGCTTCTCATGCTGGGTCACAAAAAGCCGCATCTCTTTTGGTTTGGCGGTGATCTAATCATCTGTCATCATGTTTCAATGACAATTTTTAGTGAAAAATATTTGCTTTCGTTTCATCTACAGCAGAGCTAACACAGTGTGTGCCCGTTAGTGCACCATACCATAGCATTCCCTAATCATTTCTGAGCCACACCGTGAAAGAATTAAGGCGCTAGCACAGGGCAGACCAGCGCTATTGAAGTTTTTGTCCGGCGCGGTCGGGTGCCGCGGTCGGGGCGGATTGCTTTCACCGCGGATTGCAATTTCGACAGACGTTTGACTTTGACCTGCTATAAGTAGGTCAAATATTGACCTTAAGTCAAAAGTAATATCCTCACTCGCGAGATCTTGTCAAGGGCAATCCGTTGGTTTTTGTTGCGAGGCGCTGGGACACTTCATTTAGGAACAGGAGAGGGATGCACCAGCGAACCCCCGCTGTGGCCGCCCGCCCGCGGCGCGGCCGCCCGCCCACCGCGGCACATGACCCCAACGGACGAAAACTTTAGTAACGCCGGTCAGCCCTGTGCTAGCGCCTTAATTCTTTCACAGTGCGGCTCAGAAATGATTAGGGAATGCTGTGGTATGGTGCACTAACGGGCACACAATGTGTAAACTGCTGTAGGTGAAACGAAAGCAAATATCTTTTAGTAAAAAACTGCGATTGCAACATGATGACAAATAGTTAGATCAACGCCAAACCAAAAAAGATACGGCTTTTGTGACCCTGCATTAGAAGCAGCAGACTTTGGGGATCATTGCCATGCATAATTTTTGCCATTTGTACGAAATGAACGCACGCTAGCGGCCTTTGAACTTGCGAGTATCTGACAGTCATTTTACGACATAGAAAATGTCACGACTTCTGACAATCATACACGAGGCCGGTTTTGACAAAAAATATGAAAATTATATTTTTTCGATACCCCAAACATTTGCCTGACTGGCCATATTACGATTTATCGATTAGGTGAACTTGAAATTTGGGCCTTTTCGGTATTTATGGCCACTCGTGGACCCCATTTGCATCACTGTGCAACGGTCGGCCTGGGCGCGCGCAACGCCGCCTACCGGCCTGATTCAAAACTACCAGGAAGCCGAAGTGTTCATGGAAGAATTCTAAAAAAACACACATCCACAAAAAAAGTGTCTTTATTTGCAGGAAGTGCGATGTCCTGTTTTAAAGTTTAGGTATACGCTGTTGAACACGCCGGATATAGTTAAAGTCGCATCTGAGGTACAGCCCACCGCTAAAGCAATGTGTGGTTTTACCAATCTCAACGGATGGCTTTGACCGACGATTTTTAAATGCGGACTGATTGAAAAGAAGACGTCAACAAATAGAGTTGTAGCTGCAAGGGTGAAGATACATGTAAGCTACATTTTAAGTCTCGTTCGGTTGCAGTCTGACTAATCGTTCCTAGGCTTCAGAAGCAGAACATACCCATGACTGAAACCACACATTACTTCTGCTGTGGACTGTACCTATATTAGATGCGGGAAAATGCAAGTGTATTAGCCAGCTTACCCCGGACACCAACAATCTTACAGATCAGTAACTTAAGAGAAATGTTTTAGATATTCTGAAAGTGCAATATGCTACAATGCACCCTGGCCGGCCGAAAGGGGGGGGGGGGCAGTGCCGCCCCCTAGTTTTTTCGCGATAGCTCCAAATACGACGGCGATAGAGATCTGAAACCTTGGATAATACCTCACATTTGTTTCAATCCAAATCTTGTGTCACCAATCGCATTTTCAGGCCAGGTCACTGACCTATGAGGGAGATGAAACTTACGGGACCTAGTGTCCTCCAGAGGTCTCAACTTGTGTATCTCGGATTTTTCCTAAAGGTCAAATGAAGTCCGGTCGGTCACGTGACCTCACAATTTTAAAACTCAAGCCAATGGAGAGAAATGAAAACTGCTATTTTGGCGCCGGAAACGATCTCAAGCTCCCTCAAGTACACGGAATCGTGATTTCATGCATTACTTGCAAGGTTCGATGCATCCATTTTGCATTGTTGAGCTTGCGTGACGTCATTTATGACGTCACTAGGGTCAATAAGAGTTTTTCGTCGATAACTCCCAATCCAATTGAGCCAGCGAGTCTGGAAAGTCACCAGTGGACTTGGAAAGACTTGCCGACTAGAATGATTCCGATATGATTTCATTCTACAAACGTCGTGACCTGGTGTCTCTGACCTGGCCTCGACACAAGGTCAACACCTTAAACTGAACTCGCCCGAACAAAAAGTAAACCATTCGACGCGCCTGAGCGAAGCGAACATGATGCCAAAATCGCGGCTCGCGGCCATTTTCGCGAATTTATTTATCAAAAACCGAACCCATGCCTTGGGCCACTTGACCTGGCCTCAGCGGTCACCGGTGGACCTGAATCCTTAGCCTTCCAGGCGGTGGGAGAGCATTCCCCCCCTCCCTTAAGTTTTTTCGATATATCTCCAGAAACGCTGCGCCGATCGTCACCAAACTTCCAGTACCCTCCCGGGAATAGCTTTTACACATTGTGACCATTTTTCCAAAGGCTATGATAGGTTGGCCACTAATGATGTTGGAATAACGTCATTTCTGCCATTTTGGACAAAAAAAAATGTGTCGCGGGAAGAGCTGTCAGGCCTACAGCTTTAAAGATCCAGAAAATGTTATAGACATAAAAGGTGTATAATTAGCAGGGCTATAAAACTGCAATCTCGGATTTTAGAAATTTTTGGATTTTAGCCCTGTTGTGTTTGTGTATAGACCCCCCCCCCCCCCCCCCAAGGCCCCCTACTTGGACCGCCTCTGCGACCCCACTGTGCCAGGTGCCTGTGAGCGCCCCTGCCGGCGCCAGCTGACCGTGCGCGCCAAGCGGCGTGACTGGCGCACGGGACGTGGGCTGGCGCTCGCCATACTTATTTACGTTTTGTGTATCTCTTTCGGCTTAACGTATCGCAGCTAATAAATCGCTTTAATTCATTTATATATTTCCATTTCGAACCGATAAACAACAACTAAACATGGCGCGGTCGGTTAGTGGTTATGTGTGCGGAGTATAAAGTGCAGTGAACAGTAATACGTGATGAGTGACATTGATAAGCTGACCCAGCTGCTCCTGCAGCAGGCCGAGCTGTCGGCGCAGCGCGAGAAGCGTCTCGGTCAGCTCGTGGAGCGGCTAGTTGCTGATCGACAGCCGGCTGCTCTTGTCGCCGGGGACGAAGCCTCCCCGCGACCCGGCCCACGGCGGTCGCCCCGCCTGTGCGGCTGCCGGCTGCCGCGACACCGGCGCCGCATCTGTCATCATCTACTTCGCTGCGTGACTTCGCCGTTTTGAGGGAGAAGCTGGATGGCTATATGCTTCTCACCGGCGCGTCATCACTACCCGTTACTGCCCAGCGAGCCGCTCTCCTAAGCCTCCTCGACGAGGACTGGCACCGGGTGCTGCGTTACGGCCTCAGCGTCACGGACGATTCTCCCCTCTCCGAGGTGGTGGACGCAATGGAGAGCCACCTCCGAAAACAAGGCAGTGTCCTGGTGGACCGTCGAGCCTTGTACGCCCGTGTACAGGAGGAGGGCGAAAACTTTGATGAGTTTTTGTGCGATACGAAGGAACTCGCAACGTTTTGTGACTTTTGCACGCATTGTTACGACTCACGTTTGCGTGATAAGATCGTGTGCGGCCTGCGAGGTGAAGAAACAGTAAAACGGCTGTTGGAGGATCCAGAACTCGACCTCAAGAAAGCCGTAGACATTTGTTGTGCGTCGGAAAACGCCCGCGCTACCTGCTCTGACCTCCGCGCGCCGACCGCATCGCTGAACCGGCTGTCAGCGTACCTCCAGCCAAAGTCGTGCGATGCGCGCCCCGCGGCCCAACCCCGCGGGCGCTCGGCGGTCGCGGCCGGCGCGCGCTGCTGCCGCTGCGGGCGGGCCGCCCACGCAGACCCGAGGGCTGTTCGGCTGCGAATCCAAAATGAAATATGCTGCAGCACCCATGCGCAGTGAGGACTTCGTCGCCCGTTAGTCCCGCCCACACCACTGCGTCACCGCCTGTGTGACGTCACCTACTGAAGCATACTTCGTTTTCTTGCAGCCGGAAATTCGGTGCTGCAGGAGGCGAAAGTGGCGCGGATTTAAGTTTACCGTCCAATATTTCTTGTTGTAAGCGGTCTGTATGCTGTTTTTTTGGGTATCATTATCACTCTTTTCGGTAGCATATTGCTACTTACCACATTTGAACGCAATTTAAACGCTATTTGAGCGACAATCACCAGTCCACCCGCGTAACGGTTCGCCGCGTTTGAAGTAGGCTGCAGCGACGCTCGGCCGCGGCGGGATTTTCCGGCACAGATCCGGTCTGTCGAGGACGCACCGCGCCCCACTGATGACGCCACTCACTCTGGTGACGTCACACCCTCTGATGACGTCACACCGTCTGCACTGCCGGCCGCTGCCGGCTCTGCTCGACGCGCCAGCGACAGCTCTACCCCGTGTGAGGCGCCGCCGGCCGATGGACCCAGCCCGGCCGTCGGCCTCGGCGGTCCGCTGCCGGCCTGGAACAGCGACTCAGACCCACCGGAGGCGGTCCGTGCAGCTCATGCCGCCGCTCTGGTGCAGTGTTTCCCGCGCGTGTTCGGGCAAGATTCGACTCTCCGAGTCATGGACGGTGGCCCGATGAAGATAGAACTCCGACCCTACGCGAGTCCGACGTCGGTCACCGCCGCGAGACCGATTCCCTTCGCCTGGCGGGCGGAGGTGAAGGCGCAGCTGGACGACCTGCTGAACCGCGGCATCATCGTACCCGTGGACTACCCGACGGAATGGTGTCATCCCATTTCGTGCGTGCCGAAAAACCCGTCCGGGTTTCGACTCTGCGTGGACCTGACGGGACTTAACCGGTACGTGAATCGACCCACGTACCCCTGCCGGTCTCCTCACGACGCCGTGACGAGTCTGCCCGCCGGGCACCGGTGGATGTCGACTCTGGACGCCAAGATGGGCTACTTCCAGGTGCCGCTCGCTGAGTCAAGTCAGGACCTCACCTGCTTCATCACGCCGTGGGGCAGGTTCAAGTTCGTCCGCCGTCCGATGGGATGTAGTGCGTCTGGAGACGAGTACAACCGGCGCGGCGATGCAGCGCTCGGCGACATCCCAAACTGTGTCAAAATTGTTGATGACATCCTGACCGTGGCACAGACGTACCGGCAGCACCTGCAGAAGGTAATCGAAGTTCTCCGGCGCTGTGACGACCGAGGAATCACGCTGAACCCGCAGAAGTTCAAGTTCGCCCAGAATGAGGTCAAATTCTGCGGCTACAAGATCACACCGGCCGGCTACACCACCGACAATGAGAAGGCCCGCGCCATCGCTGATTTTCCGAGACCGGAAAACGTCACCGACCTGCGGTCCTTCATGGGTCTGGTGAATCAGCTGAGCAGCCTCACACCGGAGCTGGCAGGCTCGACTCAGGCCTTCAGAGACCTCCTCAAGTCGCGCCGGGTCTGGCGCTGGAATGAGCAGCACGAGGCAGCGTTTCTGCACACGAAGATTGTGCTGTCGTCACCGCCGGCGATGGCATTCTTCGACCCGCAGCTGCCGACCGTGCTACAGACTGACGCTGCTAAAACCCGAGGGCTGGGTTTTGCACTGCTCCAGAAGAACGGCGGCAGTCACTTAGCTTAGACCAGTTATTACCACACCCCTCCGGCTAATGTATTTGAATAGGCCAGGCATACCGTAAAAAGTATGTTTTCCATGAAAAGAACCGTAACTACTAACTACCTTGTCTGAGCGATGAAAATGTGTTACACGTTTGTCAAATCATTTTTAATTGGATAGATCGCATTTCTGTAACCTATAAGTAACATGTTTCAATTGTCCCCGTGTAGTGTTATTTAACCCCGTGTCAAACTGTTCAAAAATGATGACGTCAAATTTTTTAACTCAATTTTTAGCAATTCTAGACCACGTAGGGCAAAACAAAGACCACCATTGAACTCCCCGTGACGAGCTGCATCGAATCGATACCCATTTTATGCAAAAATATCAACTTTGAAATTTGACCTAATTTGACCTGACCTTGACCAAAACGTGACCTAAGCTGGCCCCAAAGGCTGCCTGACCCACATAATCGCATTGGTCATGTCAAATGGACCATAAAACATGTATCACACGACACTTTCATATTGTGACCCCCCAGTGACCTGACCTGTGACCTGACCTGGTATCAGTGACCTCAAATAGCAAAATATGTGTTTGAAGAACATTTCCCCATCGATGATTTTCAATGAAATGCATTTTACTCGATTTTACAACGCATTTCTTGAAATGCCTGTAAACGGTGAAAATTCGACCTTTGACCTGACCTGTGACGTCATCGGTTTGACCTAGGTCAATAAAATAGGGTCGCAAGGTAGTTCCCTAATAAGGCTATCCAACACCGTTTGCCGCATGTCGCTAGGTTGCGTGATTCTCGAGATCTTAGGGGGGGGGGGGGGCAAATTGCCCCCCCCCCCCAACAGGGCGCGTTGCTCGGCAGAGCCCAGCGGGGCGCGGGTTAAAGGACAAAACATCCTAGTTTTTGAAAACAAAAGAAAGAGCATAATAGCTGCAATCGTATTTGTAACAGATGATAAAATACAAAAAAAAAAAATGTTACAATCAACCCCAGTCTCCCCTCGCTGGATTGCGCGAGACGCCGAGCGTCCGTGTCGGCGGCGGGCCCCGGTCGGGACTCGTGTCGGCGGCGGGCCCCGGTTCGGACTTACGATGGCCACCACCTCGGCGTCGGCCAGCTGCAGCTTCGAAGTGAGCTCGCGCACGTTGGTGATGATCACGTCGCGCGGCTCGTCGTTGTTCAACATGTCGGCTAGCTTTGTCTGCAAGTCCTTCCTGGCCTCCTTGCCCGCCTGTGGGAGCGCAGCGCAGCGTCACAGGGGGCATCCTATCAGACTGTCGCAGACCTACAATCATGTCCTTCATAGGCGAGCATGGGGTGAAGTGTATCTGTGCTTATGCAGCCGGTCCATTAAACTGTGCCCCGTAGGGCTATCGGCCGACTAGAGTTCTGCGCGGCTGCAATTTTCCACAGCCTAGCCGCCCTACAGCCACAGCCGCCCACAGCCGTGGCAAACTGTGGGTAGCCAGCCGTCAGCCGGCCATGGATACCTACTTTTGATGTCAGCCAAATTGATGGCAGCCAAATAGCAAATAATTATGAGTTGTTTTTAGTTAAAACATACAGACACTGGCACATTGCAAATGGCTACAGATTCTCAAGCTCATGAAGCATAGCTACACAAGCTTGTATTGTATTGTATTGTATTGAACAATCATGAGCGATCCACATTCTAAAAGTGCGTGGCGATTACTGCTCAGAATCCGTATCCGCGGTTACTAATCTAAACATTCACAGCATTCACACATTCACTCACGTCAAAGCACGGACAGAGACACTTTCGTAGTACCACAGGTACAACTCACCCACCCACCAACCCGTAGGTCAGCGACGATCAGTTGATGCCCCGTCCACTATCGCGGCTTTAACAGATCGGGCAAAGGGGGCGGGAGACAGCTGCGACAGCTGAGTTGGGAGACTGTTGAGTAGAGCAGCGGCTCTATAGCCGAACCGCCGCCTACCCGTTTCCAGCCGTGGTCGCGGAAGGTGAAAGAGGTGGTCTTGCCTGGAGTGTCTCTCCCGGACAGCGCTGTTTGTGACGAACATGGTTGCCAATTCCTCGGGTTCGCCGCGCTGAATGGCTTTGTGGGCGATAACAAGGGTTTGGTAATCAGCCATATGACGCGGGGACAGCCACCCGAGCTTTTTTCGCAGGTCAGAGACATGGGCAAATTTACGGCGACCGAAAATGACTCTAGCAGCGAAGTTCAATTTTTTTTGGAGACGATCGAAATTTTTTTGGGACCCATTGCCATAAACTGAGAGGCAGTACTGGATGCGTGAGATAACGAGTGCTGTCACGAGCGTTCTAATGATGCCATCCGGGAGACTGTGGCGCGCATGGGAGAGACCGATCAACAGTCCCGTACACCGGCGACTGAGTTCGGAGACGTGAGCGTCCCAGGATAGAGTACTGTCAAAAGTGACGCCCAGGTTCCCCACCTGCTTGCAAGGGGTTAAGAAAGATAGGGAGGTAGGTACCTACCTACATGAACACAATACCTACAACGAACAAGAATAGAAGCACAGTAGACATCTATTGCCAAATCATGAAGCATGATTGGGGAACAGAACAACAGACCTTGGTATTTTCATTATCAATGTTATAGAAAATGGACCTGGAGTTGATGAAGCATCCAACAGTGATTATCCTAAAGGTTCAAGTTGAAACTCTTGCTTCTTTCTTACCTTGCATATTTTCTGGGGTGTGATATGGCAGGCTTGAAGCAACCTCTGAGCAAGTGTCAAGCTATTCTGACATACAATGCATTAAAACATTAGTGAACATCCTAGAAACAAAAGCATTTATCTATTTTGATTTTTCCACGATCATTTTTCCAAGATTCTTACATAATTCATGCTGCGCTCAACTCACCAAGGATCACAATTGCCACAATTGCCTCTTTCAATCTAAATGGTTATTGGAGTTTGCAGTGACGTCAATAACAAAAAAGTAGTGAGTATTTTCTTGTTTGCCCTTAACCCTCGCCGGCACAGGCCATTTTGCGTCCTTCGACGACACAGGGGGGGGGGGTACGACCCCCCTCGCGTTTGGCCCCTGATCGAGCTAGAGCTTCGAAGCCGATGATACCCAATTTTAAGGTCCTAGGTCATCGGGTGACCTTCCAGGTCAGGTCAATGACCCGTAAACCGGGAAAATCGGGACCTGTCAGAAAGTCGTTAAGTGTGGCTGCTATGTGGTTTTCCGGGTGCTGATCACGAATATCGTGCTAGTTTTGATCAGAGATGATGTCTTTAAGCATTTAGACCAGGTCGGGTCGGGTCAGGTCAGGTCAGGTCAACCGGTAGGGGTTGTGACGGGTATTCGTATACGTGTCAACCGCCTCTGACAGCTTCGTAACATGTTACGAAAGCACCAAAACTACTTCGTAAATGTTTAAATGGTTGCTAAATTCGAATTCAACTCCAAAAACTAGCCTAGAAACATGTAAAACTCGAAAGAGTGAACCGAGGTCACCCGAGGTCACCAAAGGTCAATGACCTGACATGACCTTCAGGTGACCTTGACACCCACCCTAATGTATGGGAGCAACATCAAATCACATGTTTGAACGTTTGAAACCACGAAAAGCTTGCAAACGCGCGGCTAATGCGAACCGACATACCTACGCCGAATCGCGATTCCAGCCAAACATGGTCTCGGAAAAGAGATCACAGGTCGAGGGTCATTTGGGTCAGGGTCATGAAATTTTCAGGGTAGGTGTAAAATTGATCAATGCGAGGGTACTGAAAGTTTCGTCGCGATCGGCCGTTTTTTACGCGAGTTATTCGCGAAAAACCTTAGGTTGCATCAACCCCCTGTGCCGGCGAGGGTTAAATATCACTTTAAAACGACAATAAATTAAATACAGGGTGAGTGAAATGATTGTCATACTCAAACAAAAGTTAATTATCACAAATTTTGATATTTTCAGCTAAAGACATCATTTTATCAGCAAAGCCAACAACTAGGGTAAGAAATATTGTGTTCAGTGTTTTTAACGTCATGTGCATGAACAGTAAGCAGGGTTTACGATGCCTCATAATATAATTCATAATAAAGAAGAATTCGCCGCTGCAATCACCAGTCTCACCAGCCTGCTGAAGGACCAGGCTGAGGCCGCCAACCAGCGGGAGCAGCGGATGGCCGATCTCGTCACCCAGGCTCTACGAGGCAGACAAGGGAGCGCGTCGGGAGACGGTGACGACTCCCAGACATCGGACACCACGAACAGCAGACCCCGCCTGCCGCCGTCAGCCACTCCAGCGCCGCGTCTGGTCTGTTCGGCCAGCCTCAGAGAGTTCTCGTCATGGCCTGAGAAGTATAAAGGCTACCCTCTTCTCATTGGCCTCGACTCTCTCGACATCCCTGAACAGCGGGCGGCCTTATTATTACTCTTCGACGACGAATGGACGCGAGTAATACGCTACTCGCTGGACGTGACAGACGCCACACCTATCGACACTCTGCTAACAAAGATGGAAAGTCACCTCAGGAGCCAAAGGAACGTCATCGTCGACAGCAAATAGTTCCATACCAGACAGCAAGCAGACGGCGAGCCATTCGACGAGTATGTAATGACCTTAAAGGAACTGGCAGAGTCCTGCGACTTCTGCGTCCACTGCGCAGACGACCGGCTCCGAGACAGGATCGTGACGGGCATCAGATGTGAGGAAACAGTGCGACTCCTCCTCGCCGAATCGTCATTGACACTGCAAAAAACGATCGACATCTGTCGGGCAAGAGAAAACGCGACGCAGGACAGTGAAGCGATCCGGGGTAGTCCTGCTCGCCCCGTGTCCGCCTACCGGCAGCGACGAAGCCGGGACAGCAGAGCCGGCCGGAGTCACGGTCCAGACGTCACAGTCCAGTCACGGTCCAGACGCCCGAGACACGTACCGAGAAGGCCGACACGGACGGCACGGCCAGGACAACCGGGAGAGAGGCTATGATAACGACCGACGGGACTACCGATCTGCCAGCCGTGGCAGGCGATGCGGCTACTGCGACGGACCATGGCACACCAAGGAGCAGCTAGCCCCCTGCCCTGCCAGAGGCACCACGTGCCGATCATGCGGCTTCAAAGGGCACTACACATCCGTCTGTAGGAGATCTAGGCGGAGGCACACGCGGTCAGGCTCTGAAGATAGCCAGACATCTGACGGGCTCCACCTGAACGGCGTGCGAATCCTAGGCGTCACAGCAAAGAAAACACCACAAGTCTCCCTCCTGGTTAGTCATCAGCGTGGACAGGGATCACTACTGTGGACGCCAGACACTGGCGCCGAGGTATCTGTCATCGGCTCCAGAGAAGCGGAGCGGATTGGCATCGACACAGCACATCTGACACAGCCGGCAGACCGGCTCCTGGCCACTGGAGGACACCAGTTGAAGTGTGCCGGCTCGCTCCAGTGCACACTCACAATGGGACAGCGCCAAACGTCCACCACCGTAACAGTCATACCGGGTCTCCAGGCAGCCCTCCTCTCATAGTACGACGCCATCGCCCTGGGGATCATCTCGCCGGACTTCCCGAAGCAGATCTACAGCATCACGGAAGCAACAGGAACGTCGCCTCCCGCTACCGGACACACGACAGCAGCGCCGGTAACGGCGCGCTCTCACACAGCGGTGGATGGCGACTCATCTCTCCCCACATGGGATCCAAGGAAAGGTGATCCGACTCCAGCACAGAGGCAGGAGCATCTAGACGCTCTGAAGAAGGCGTTCCCGATGGTGTTCAACACTCAGCCACCACTACGAGAGATGGCAGGCGGCCCAATGCGGATCGAGCTAAAGCCAGATGCTCGCCCGTACGCCGTGACAGCTGCTCGCCCGTACGCCGTGACAGCCGCCAGAAACATCCCGCACGCATGGAAAGACGACATCAAGCGCCAGCTGGACGATCTGATCGCACAAGATGTCATCATGCCCGTATCCCACCCGACCGAGTGGTGTCACTCGATGGTTCCGGTACCGAAGCCGCCGACAGACGGAAGCGGCGGCAAGACTTCAGTGCGGATGTGCGTGGATCTGACCAAACTCAACCTCTTCGTCCGACGTGGAGCCCATCCTGTCACCACTCCTCACGATGCCGTCACCGGAATCGAGCAAGGCAGCCGATTCTTCACGAAGTTGGACGCGAAGTCAGGGTACTTTCAGATCCCGATCGCAGAGGAGGACCAAGACCTGACGTGTTTTATAACACCCTGGGGGCGCTTCAGGTTCAA